ACGGATAAACTTATTTTGTAAACAATATTTTTGCACAAACAATCTTTTTTTATAAATTATATCATCTTTAGATTTAAATTAACTATAATACAAATGACTAGAATTAATTTGCCTCTAAAATCAGATGTCGGCTAACTACCTGTTTATGAAACAAACTTATCTATAAATTTATCGACTGTAAAATAACTTTGCCTGTAATTTAATTTTTTGCAAATTAAGTTGTCTTTAAAGTAATTGTTGGTGAATTGATACTACTAAATAAGATATTAAATAAAATTGCAATAAACGTAATTTGAATTTTAAGCAGTCTGTTAATAGTAATAGATGTATTCAGGATTACAGAATATCAGTATAGTATAGGTGACTTGAACAGTCTGATATGAGGTATACAATAAAGCATCCTATACTTATCAGCTATTATATATAATAGTTGTTCAGTATGGTATGGTTTATAGTTTAGAAAATTATACCATACTAACAGATATTATAATAAATTAAATTATTATATCGAATCAATATGGTATAGTTTTTTGTTAAAAAACCCATATATACAGACCTGGTTATAGATGATATTGAAATACTGAATTGCCCACCACCTCTTGAATGTGTGCCAGGTTGGTGGCATTAACCGTTAAAAAAAATTTGCACCAACCAACAAATAAAATGCAAATTATAATAAGTTTTAATACTATATAAGCAGAAATAACACACGTGAGCGTTATTTTGAAAATCAGATCCTTCAAAAATAATTTATATGGTCTCGAATTAGCACTTATTTACGTCCCGGATTAACAGCATCCTAATTTGCATATAATCTATTGTTGTGATAAATGATGTATAGTCGATACTCCAGATGCGCACACTCAATAAGAGCACTTTCTCTATAATGATAAGTGACATAATTTGATCGGTCTAATGTAATTATTTGATATTATGCATAAAGATTATTCCTCATAATGAATATTCTATAAATATACTTTTATCTAACAGTATGCATTTATGGAAGGTTAATTGTATTGGATTTAAAAAATTTCTTTTATTTCAAAATAATACACATAGGCATATTTTAAATAATGCACAGGTCAATCAATTAGTGCGTAGATAGCATTAATTCACGCTAATATGGTAGATATTTTACACTCTCTTACTATATAATTTGATCATCCAACTACCCAAATCTTCTATAATTTCTAAATACTTATTTTAGAAATGATTAGCTATATGGATTGGTCATCATGATAAAACAAACACCAAATTTATGCCCTGATCTTTTCTACATTTTTGAGGATCATATTTACTCTTGCAGCCATGAAAACATATATTTTTAACATTAAAATAAATTGATAATTCAAAATAAATGAAGAATGTAAGTTGTACCTTATTTTTCACACGAAAAAAAAAGATTGGCTAGATAAACTTACAGTACAAGGTACATTAAAATATATCTACAAAATCATGTACATGATTCTCAAAATACATGTATATGCCATTGCTAGTTCTAATAATAATAGACAGAGTTGAGTATTTGTTTAGAGTTAGAGATGTAATCCGGAATAAATTTTATAACAAAAATATTGTAAAGCATTCTTAAAATGGATAACAGATCTTATTTCTATTAAACTCAAACATGTTTGCAAACTTTCAAACTGAACCCAAACCAAACTATTAGTTATGTTTGAGTCTGGTTTGAGTTCGAAAAATAAAGGTTGGTTCTGGTTTGAGTTCAAAGTTCTGCAAAATTTAGAGTTTGAGTCCGAACTTCATCAGGCTCGAACTAGACATAAAAACACTAATGTAAAATATTTTGTTACTTGCTCACTATTCTAATAATCACAGTATGTGGTTGAGTTAGTTTGCATTAGAATTATTATGATTTAATCATGAGTTACTGTAAAAATTCTGCTACAAACCTTACTATTCATATCTCAATTAATCCTTCATTCATTATATAGAGGGGGGTCAGTAGAAATGGAACAAATTTATCTAATAAATTTGTCCCATTTCTACTGACCTCCCTCAATATGCACTTTGTAGATATTGATTGATTCTTGAATATGAATAAGAATAACTAGTCAGTTTTATATCTACTTTCAATTTTCACGCATTGATTATTAATTCACAGATCAATTATGAATAATAACGATCCTGCTATGACATTACAGTTTAGCGATCCTTATAAAATTATAAAAAAAAATAGAATGTACGTATGTACATTGTGAAAGTATAACTAACCACTTTAAAGCTAAAACTAACTAAATGCTACATGAAAACTACTTTAACTATCTAAACTACAACTCTAATACTCCAAAAATAGTGTCAAGACTCTGAGAACCTTATAGTAGAAGGCTTCGAATAGAGGCGTGGAAGACTTGACCCGAGTTACAAGATCTCTTAGGTCTTGTAAGGTGTTGCTGGGATTAATATAAGTATCCTTTGGTCTCTTGTTGTATTATTGTATTAATACTTCTACCACTAATATTTTTTATCTCTTCAACTTAGAATATTTGCTTCTTTAGAATCACGTTATGATGATTAATTTGTAACAGTCTGAATGAATCGGGTTCTAGACTCTATAAGAAATATCAGTTGGAAATTACAGGTTTTCTAAATTGATAATCTGTACTATGTATTAACTACTAGATTTAGTTGATTGTCAATAATTATGTACGGACTTTAATTCCAACCTTGATTCTTATAGGTCAATAGTCAGACAGAAAATTGTTGTTGTATGACAATTCATTGAGGAGGATCATTAGAGATGGGCAAAATGTGCATTTTGAGTATATGAAGTGCATTATGCATATCATGCGCATGATTAAGACCAGCATAGTAGAATTACATTATATGTATCATATAATTTATTCTATTCGCACAACACTAGTTATCAATTTTAATTCAATTCTAGTGTATCGCTTCTAGTTTACTTAATTCTATTTTACTAACTAATTTTTCTTTGGTCTCTTTAATATATCTTTAAAAAAAAATGTAGTTAAGTTTATTTAAATTGTTTCGAAAAAAATTTCTTTGTTCAAATTTTACTTATATTTTTTTCACTTTACTAAAAAAATTTGAATTTGCAATCTTCACAAAATATAATAATATTGACTGCTCTAACAAATTTTTGAGTATTTGCTCAAATTATTTATTACATTGCTTGTGCTCGCAAAAGAAACTACATTATATGTTTTCCAACAAAAATGTTTTTTTATACATGTTTTTATTTTTATTTTTTTTCGATATTTTGCATAATTGTTAGCAATTTAATACTAATGCTTTGCAAATAATTTATTCATTATCACTTTTCATGACACTTTCTTCTTCACTATCAGTTTCTTCCAAATCTGAATTTTTAAACAATTCACTTTTATTTTCTACCAGCATTTCATCATTATCATCGCTTATATAATCATTTGTTGGATCTAATAAATCAATTCTTCGATTCTCCTGATGATTTGGATATTGTGTTTGCTTATCATTAAATCGAATTGTAGCTTCTATTGTGTCTGCAAATTCTTGTCGTGGACGGGTAAGTTTATAATTGCTATATATGTATACTAGTTTTAATAGCCGTTCATTAGTTAGTTGACATCTTTTTTTTTCATGTATATAAGAAAAATTTGACCAGTTATGTTCAGAAGTTGCTGATGACGAAGGGATAGAAAGAACTCTAACAGCAACTTCACACAATTTTAATGCTGAAGTTTCAAAGTTTCCTTTCCACCAAGAAACAAAATTGAGTTGGTTAACAGTTTTCTATACAAGTTGAAATCAAATACGCCAGTTTTACTTTTATATTCAATTAGTTGTTGCCAAATAAAACTTGCATTGTTTGGATAGTATTGTTGAACAAATTGGGAAATTATTATCATGCCATTATTTGGAAGTTTTTGTTTGCAATATATTGGATCTAAAAGATATGCAACTGACATAACTAGATGATACATCTTTTCTCATCGATTTGTCAATATATCTTTAATTTTGTTATCTATAGGTGAAAAAATATATTCTATGTATGTAGATATGTAGCAATTAAGTATGTATTAGTAAAATAATTATATATTTATATGTATTATATAACTTACTATTTGATTCTAGTTGCTCACGATACCAGAGATAAAATAATGATAATCGTGGTTTATCTGCTTCAAATAGTGAAATACCAATGACTATTTTATCTAATACTAAAAGAAGGTTTTCAACATTTTTCCAAAAAGATTCATTCTGAATTACTTTATTAACTAATTCTAATTGTGTATCCAATCGTGTATCATAATTACTAAGCATAATTTCTATTGCAGCCAATTTAAGTGCAAGTTTATTATATAAAACCGAATTAAGACAGGTTGCTGCAGAACCCTATCTTGTTTTGACTGGATATTTTAAAGATATTCGTTTTTGGTAAGTTGCTTTTTGATGTCATCTTAAAATAGCTGATGGAATTTGATGTGATCGAAAGTATGAGACAATTATAACAGCATTTTTTATAATATTGGTACTCCATGGTATCTTTATTATATCTCCAATCAAAAGATTTAAGTTATGTGCTATACATCCTACGAAAAGAATTTTAGGATACTTTAATTCTAATAGACCCCAGGCTTTTTTCATTATGGAAGCATTATCCGTAATTACAGCTAAAATTTTTAAAGATCCAACTTGTATAATTATTTTTTCCAATCCATTAGCAATTGCTTCACCATTTTGACGTACTTCATGAGTTGGATATGCAGCAAAAACACTAGTTTAGGAGTTGCTAAAATATAATTCGTCCAGTGTTCTTGAACTAAATTTGACCATCCATCAGATATCAAACACATGTTTGTACTAGTACTAATCAAATTATCAACATCTTGTTTAGTTTCATTGTAGATACGATCTAATAATTTTGAAGAAAGCTTTTTGCAACTAGGTAGCTTAAATGTGGGCTTTGCTTGTTGCCATAACTCTTTAATAGGTTCCATCTCTGTTAATGACAAAAAAAGACTACAATAAAGTATAGATCATGCAAAAGCTAATTCAAGAGACCATTGTTCTGTGTTTGAAATATAATCAACATTAATATAAGATTTTAATCTTGATGCTGATATTGAAGCCAAAGTAGATATTGGAGCCGAAGTAGATATTGGAGCTGAAGTAGTTAATGATGTTATAGTAGACACTAATGTTGAAGGAGTTATATTTATAGGTATATTTATTGTCATTTTCTTCAAATGAATCTCCAAAATAACTTTTTTTTTGCGACAATGGTATATTCAAACATTTTTGAACATGTAATCTAGCTGGTCTAACCGAATCATTAATTTGTTCGTCACACTTTTTACATTAACTTCTTTTTTGTTTGTATCCAGATACATGTCTTAGTTTAATAAAAAATGACCATATCAGATCAGGTAATAGCATTTTTTATTTTATTAACGATCAAAATTATCAAGATATTTATAAAAGTTAAACACTTATTAATTTTTAATTTACTACGTAATTTTTTAATATATACGTATAGCAATATAGTAGTAATGTTTAATTTATTTGATTTATGAAATTTATACAATAGTGATGTAAGCTCGAACTATTAAATAACAAAGAATTTAATTTCAAATACTGTATACTACAATATAGACTATAATTCAATACAATTTGATAAATTGATCCCAAATCAATTACAAAATTTTTAGGCAAATTTGTCTAGAACGAGAAGGTAAGAAATAATAATTTGATATAGAATTATCCGGAAAATGTATTTTGCCAAACTTTAATATATTTTTTTATTGATACAAAATTGAGAGTCTATCATTAAAATTTAATAAATATTAATAAAACTTCAAAAGGTATAAAATGATTCGATAAGTTTTTTTTTTTTTACAAAAAATATGCTGCTTTATATTCACTGCTTATTTCCTAATTATTGTAATTTACTTGTTTTTTTGGGTATTGTTAATAAGTTTTTAATATTGATAATTTTTATATTTACGATATTTATTACTTTAAAAATTATTATAGTATTCTGTGATTTAGTTGTATTGGTATTGACTTTTTTCTATATTCTCATTAAAAGCCAATCTTAATAGCTTTGAATATTACGATTAATTTTGCTCATGATATTATACATAGTCATAATCATGTGAATGCATTTTCATGTTGCATATTATGCGCATGCAAAATGCAAGCATGATAGCATGATGTGCATGGTGCCCATCTCTAAGGATCATACGATGTCTCTTCAATGAGGTCTACACATATATATAAATATTAGTTCTTCCCCGATATCAGAACAGGGGGAGATGAATGCCCTTTGAACTCTTCTCCCAATAAAGAGAATTCTCATGACTTGTCCTTTTTAATAAATTACCTGTCTAAATGTTTGTTCCTCATAAATGTTTCAACCATCGTAGGAATTTTGAGTTTTATCACGATTCTAAGTGATGACTATAAAGTGTGCCTGACTCTTCACTTTAGTTTACTATTCTGAACTATCTTGGCACTGACCTATCTGATACTCTTCCAACTTGATGGTGACAACGTGTTTATGTTGCCTTCGGAGATTACAGCTGTTTTGAAAATTAGTGAGACACATAATGAATTTTGTGATGATCATCCAAATTTCAGTAATTATTTTTCAGTAATAACAGTGTAGTTTTTCGATAATATAATTTTTTGGCCAATATATTATTGCGATATCGTTTGGTTTATTTCGGACTGATTCAGGATAGTTTGTTACAACATATCCCATATTAGTCTGCAATTCAAAACAAACGATACCACAATAATATATCAGCTGAAAAATTATATCATCGAAAAACTATACTGTTATTACTGAAAAATAATTACTGAAATTTGGATGATAATTACAAAATTCATCATATATCTCACTAATTTTCAAAACAGCTGTAATACGTCATGAGGAAATACTAGCTGGGTTCAGAATTCTAATTTATCAACTATATCACGAGTGACTTATGTCGGCGGTGATCAGATTTTCAATTACTCAATTACTTTTAAGGGATGTATTATAATTCTTTCATTCTTTCTATCAATAATTTTAAGTTAAGGAATAAGTGATTTATTAAAAATAATTTCGGTATTAAAGGTATAGTGGTTTTAAGAAACAACTTCTACTATAATTGATTTCAAAGTTTATATAGTTTTAGAACTCAAAAGAGTCACCCTTATTTGTGCGAAAAGACATTATATTATATAGTTTTTACACTGCTACGGCTTAAATGGCTCAGCAACTAGTTTGCATATGCCAACAAGTTTTTTCTCATTGCAAGGATAAAGAAAATGAAATAAATGAAATAAATTTCATTTATTTCACTTTTGAAATTTTCTTGACCTTCGATCCTACCAAAATAGGTATCGAGTTTACAATCTTACTAATTTACGTCATTACTATATTGGCTAGTTATACTAAGCTTATATTTTTAGAATGTAACAGATACAATGTTACAAAAATAATAAAAAAAATAAAAATAGTCAAGAAAATAAATTTTGGGGCCACAGGAGCCCCTTACAACGTACATACATACATATAATTATAGCATCATAAATAGATTATGAATTTTCATATTCACATGACACAAAGTACATTATGTATAGTACATCAAAGTCGAATATATGCATATATGTAAGATGAGCCAATGGCTATAATTTTTATTATAAGAAGAAGAGGAAGGATTATCGTTATTAATTATAGAAAGGAATTATATTAAAGAGTACATTTTTTAGAACATACTATGTATATTGCATCATGCTATCATGCTAACCTTGTGTTAGTATGTATGCACACTTTTTCATACTGTGGGCTTTAATGTTAACAATCTTGATACAAATATAGCTTCAGTTGATTGTCGATCATGCATAAACATAACCACTAACCAGATATCAAATACTGGTATGTCTAACACTAACCCAGTTATGCAAAATACTGGAAACCCAAGGCATTGCACACTATTCCTGATATAGGTAGAGACATACAAATAGAGATAAAATCATGTGAACAGGTTGCCCAATCGGAATTAAAAGAGCTACACCACTTAACTTGCCTATAAACTATACACTACGTACTTCGTACTCTGTTTCTGGTATATGAGCAGTAAGGTGATTGTGAATCATAATAGCAGTGATAGCTTTGGAGCTGTCTATACAGGACAAATAATAAGTAAAAGAAGAGGTTGAGTGTGGTTTTGAGTAAAAAGGATTGAAAGCTAGTTTTGTTTCAGACAAGCAGATAATATCAAGATTGTTGTTTAGACAATATTCTTCCCAAACTTGTTGTTTTAGTTTTTGGTTAAAGCTGCAAATATTATAAGTACAGATTGAAAGATTGAGGAAGGAATAGAAAGAGTTGAAAATATTAGAAACAGGATTGTAGATATTATTTATTATAGAAGGGTTATAGATGTATGATCTAAAAGAAATAGAAAGTTTGAGATAAATGGTTTTATAATAAGATACAATAATATAATCTGGTAGAGGGCAGAGTTCTCTAGCTAAGTAGATGTGAGCTTCACTAAAGTCTGTTTTAATATATATGATAATTTTTCATAGAGCTTGTTCTATAAACTAATGGTAAGTAAGTGTAAGATGAAAAAGTTAAGAGTTTATTGGCTTTTAATAAGAGGAAAGTTTGGGATAAGAGGAAAGTTTGGGATAAGAGAAATCAATTAAAACAAATTAATAAATCATAATATATAGGAGATATATTAACATAAATCTTATGTAGGTCTTCTACAGAATTGCTTACTATATATCTGGCTCTTATAGTTCCACAAGAATTAGAAGTACTCTGGTTAGATGTTAAAGTACTATCATTATCTAATTCTTCCAGGTATAATAAAAAATATATATACAAATAGTTTTTTAAAATTTTTTAAGAAATTGTTTAAAAATTTCTATTTATTTATTATAATACTAATATTGAATTTTGCTAGTATATAAATATTGCTTCTTAATAGTATTAAAAATTAGTTCTATTTGTTTGTTTGTTTTTTGTTTTTTTTTAATATTAATAGTAAGATCTTGCTTTTAATTTTATTAAATTTAATAAATATTTTTTACAAAACTAGAAAAATCTTAATGTATAAACCTAATACTAAGAATAAAAACTTAAATATATATCTAAACAAACTAAGTGCTTATCTGTAACTTAAACCAACTAGAGTAGCCAAGGCTCATCTAGATTTCAGAATAGTAAAAATGTAAGAGAGGTGTATTGAATATTTAATCTAGTCAGTGTATTATAAATCAAATTTGAAAGAAGAATTTGGTATAATAGGGTTGTTAGTTGGCCTGGGCATAAAGAAGAATATTGGTAAGATGTGTGATAAAGATGAAGTAGATTGGTATGTAGTTGGGTTTGGGATCTAGATATGCAGTAAGGAATCCATATTGTAGTATATAATTATTAGTTGATATTAAGAAGAAGTTTGATTGTAAGAGTGTTTGGTTAAAGAAGTATATTTGTTTAATATATTTATTATATCAAGTGGAATAAGAAAGGTTTATATATAAAGTAGTATATTTAAAAGCTATTCAGGTTTGTAATTAAGAAGTGGAGTTGGTTTACTTGAAGCTAAGAGATTTGAAGCTTGTTATGATTTAGTATATTTTGTAAAAAATTTTAAATAAGATTAAACAAAGGTATAGTAGAGGGGTATATAGCCCAATATAGTGGAGTACTTTCTTATTAGCACAGATAATATTTGTCAGAAAAGGATAGATATTTTTTGTTGAGAATATGAGGTATTGGTAAGTTATCTAAAAGCAATTTAATTCTAAAAGATTTGTATATAGAGGATTGAAAATTATAAGAAAAGTTAGAAGTATTCTTGATATCTATTTGTAAAAGTAAGTTTGTGATAACCAGTTAGCAAATATATATATAGTATATTGTCCTAATACAATAGCAGATTGAATGATTAATAAATCGAGAAGTGAATAATGAGTTGTAAATATTAGATAGGTTGAAAATAAAAAAAGATGCAACATGGTAGTTATAAACAAGCTGATTAGCAGTATTGTTAAAAATATTATCTTAATAGGTATTGACTTTATAGAAAATTATAAAATTGAGAAAATTTTAATAGAGTATTCCAAATAGACTAGTAAGGTGTATTTGTTGGATAAGGAGTAGAAGTTTTGTATAATAGATTATTACTGTATAGTTACGAAATAATGCACAGGGGTGTAATTTCGAATTTCGGCCTAAATTAAGCTTAATTCGGGCCGAGGTTCGAAATAATGCCATGTGCATTATTTCGCGACTATACGGTAAATTTGAAAATGACTAATTGAAAATTAGTAAAGATTTGTACAGTACAGTTTCTAGGAGCTGTGCTAATAGTGGATACTATTACAA